GGAGCGCGCTGCGCCCCGGCGCTGAGGCCCCGAGGATCGGGGCGGCAGGTCGCCCTCCCCACCATGAAGAAGACCCGGAGCACAACCTTGCGGCGAGCCTGGCCTAGCTCGGATTTCTCGGACCGGGCCTCGGACCGCATGAGGTCCCGCAGCGAGAAGGACTACCGCCTGCACAAGCGCTTCCCCGCGGCCTTCGCGCCCCAGGCTTCGCGGGGCTACATGACATCAGGTTGGTTGGTGACCGCGTTTCTGCCCCCGCGCCGGGGCCGCGGGACGTGCTCGGTATCCCGCGGCCCGCGTGCTTGGAGGAGAGGACGGGCAGTGATGGATGCGATAAGTTATGGGGAAAGCAGGAAAAAATTAGCTCCCATCCACCATTTTGTACCTCCGCAAGATCCACAGCAGGCCCTCTCAATATGGGGTTGGAGAGCTATTAGTTAGGTAAAACGAGGGAGGGGGGACGAGCCGGGCGTTTTGGCTGCAGGGAGATAAATGACTGCAAGCCCCCGCGCTGCAGCCTCCTCGAGCTTTGTGGAGGATCCTGCGCCCAGGGTTGCCTGCAGTGCCAGGCTTGCTGGCTCCTGCGTGGTGGCCGGTTATCTGAGTGGGTATTTCCAGCAGCCCCCTGTTCTCCAAAAGGAACAGGTTCCGTGCGCAGCTCTGGATGGGCTGAGTCAGGGGAGAGTCCTGCAGACATCCCAGGCTCGTCTGATTTGCACGCAGAGAACTGTGTTGGAGCTCACTGAATGCGTTCTGTGGGGGTAATGGTGTGGATGCGGATTGAATGCTCACATGATTCTGTGTGGATTTAACATATGTTGCTTTGAGTTGGGCTGTATGGAAAGAATGGAGGCTGTATCATGTATTTGCATGTCAGACAGGAAGGACAAACAAAACGGTAAATGGAAAAGGGAGGCTTCAGAAAAGATTTCCGCTTAAAATGCAGTGCTGTGAAAAGCCTTCCTGAAGGAGCCAGTTCTTTTTTTGGAAATACAACGGAATGGCTTTGGTTTGATTTGGGAACCCAGGGATGAAATTCTTGAGGGAAATGCTGAAGGAGGAAAAGCCTGGAAAGCTTCCGTTGCCATCTCCTTACTTCTCGTTAACCACTTGTATGTAATGATGTGTAAGGCATCGGTTTTTATTTATTTTTCATTCAGAGAAAAATTTTGATTTTCTTCTAAGCACACTGTAATGGAAGAACCGAGATTTTCTTTCAAACCACATACTGTACCAAATCACTCTGAGCCCTGTCTTAACTGGGAAGATCATTTTAAGCTTGTGGTTGGTACTTAGAGTCTAGCTTTACTCTCTTTCTCCTAAAACAGCAAGTCCTTTTTAACTGGGGTCAGCATCTCATGCTTCAAAAATGCCTTGCGACTGCATTTCCACGAACGTAAAGCCTAAATAAAAGAACCATCTTTTTTATTGCAAAATCAGGCGACATAAGGATGTTGTACTATTTTGGCAATAAAGCTCCTTGATTTTCCCTTTCGTGAAAAGCCAAATTCGTAAAGAAAGTGACAACTACAGTTTCTGCTTCAGTCATTTCAGTCGCTGCTGTGGTTGCTATATTCCTCAGACTTGTGGCAGTAAATTTTGAAACACACCTAAATCCAAACCTAACCTCAAAACACGTATGTACATAAACCCATGTCTGCCCTGAGTGTTCAGATAATCCTGGGTTTCATGTACTTAGGGTTTGAATGTCTTCATTCCACACTTCACAGTTCCCCTTATGCCTCCTAAGGAACCTGTCCTGACACCAAGTGTGAAGCTATAGGAGGGCTGGTGGCCATCATTTCTTCAACAAACCTGCAACACTGTGTTTCATGATTCAGGCACATTTCCAGGGAGCCAGTTTTTTTTTCTTTTTTTTCTAATCTATCTTGGCATTACCTCGTTATCACATTTTCATTCTTTGCAAAAGAACTTGTGTGCTATTGCAGGTGCTGTGAGGCATTTTTGAGGGCTTGAGGAAGAAGCTTTTAATTGTATTTGATTCCCTTATTTCATTTCTTGATCCACAAATGGTAAGATGGTCCTATGGTGATAATGAAGGATAACCTGTTTCAGGTTGGCAGTTTTCTGTTCAGATTCAATGTTAGGTTACTGCTGAGAAATCTGAAGACCAAAAGATGGAAGAAAAGTTCCATCATTCATTCAGCATTTTTCTGGAGTGCCCCCGAAGAGCACAGTGCCTTGCTGGATTCTCATGGGGTTGTACGGTTGGATATAACATGGTTCTTGCCCAGGGAGGGAGGCTTGTCGTTTATTCTTTATTTTAAATATTAGTTGATACATGGAATAAGAAGCAGGTGTTGCTGCTATGGGAGGAAATAGTAAACATGAAGACAAACACCTACAATGAACACTGGGAGAGTAGGTGGAGTCTTTCTCATGTGCAACTCTTTTGGGGGTTGGGTTGGGAAGGATGTGTATCTTCATGTATTTCCTTTACAAATATGGCTCCTTTCAAAATGTGGGTGTTGATAGAAATAGATGATATATTGAAACACTTGGAAATGATTTATAAGACATTCTCGTCCTTTTAGGAAATGTAAAGGAGATCCACTTTTATCAAGTTAGTGACTTTGGATACAAACGGAACCTTTGTCACATAAAATATTGAGTGGAAAATGAAACCTCTTAGAAACACATGAGGCCTTTCATATTTCTACTTTCTGTTTGTCCAGCCATTTGGTTTAATTACTACTGATATCCTCATACTTGATTTTTAGTAAAAAGGTTTTTGTTGTGGGGAAATTACTTGGGTTCTAAGGACAAGATAAGCCTTTCAGAAATGTACTAAATGACTTAAAATAACTTCAGTTAAGAGACTATTTTTAGACCCCCTCCCTCAACAAATATTCCTGAAAATTGTGGGAAACAATCACTTAGTTTTAAGCTTCAGGACATGAGAGAGCCTTGGGAATTTCAAGAAATAGATATTAATAATTTTCCTTATGGTCTAGCGTCCCATATCACGCAGTAGGTGCTTCAAGCAAAATTGTAGGCTTCTGTAATAGCTTTCTAATGAGACAGCACCATTTCAAACAGTCTTTGCTCCACAAATAAGTAATTACCAGTGTGAAATGTGATTTATAGCAATAGGCTTGACATTTAGCCTTGGCCTTTCCAATACCTTCAGGAAAAACTACACTTAAGCTCAAGAGGTTAGAGCGGGCACCTATAAACTAGAGAGGTCTTGCAAAAGGACAGTTAGGGAATTCTGAAACTTTAAGTCTCGAAGACTATGCCTTATGGGACTGTTTAAGCTCCCAACTCATGCTACCAAATCTGAAGAAATCCTAAGAATTCATGAGCTTCCTAGCAACCAGTAAGTTCACAGGCCATGAGATGACTTCATTGTTCATCTTGAATATTAATTTCCCAGTGGTGGTTTCTGGGCAGAAAGGGTAAGATCTTGTCTTTTGTTCAAATCAAGATGAATAATAAAAAGTGCATGGCATTATCTTAAGAAGAAAAGGGGTTGGACCAAATGGATGTGGGATGATTCTTGTGCCTTTTCTAAAACTAGAAGTTACGATATTCATGAACTAGAGATAAAAGTGAAACTCCTCACAGAGGAGCAGATCTGTATAACGAACACTTAGTACTTTATATATGAAAACATGCTCATTTGTCTCTGTGAAATGATTTTCAAGGCCCCAAACCTGTGGTTGATGAAGTTGTTAGAGCTTTCTCTGTTAGAATTATGTGAACTGTAATCTCTTCACAAGAATGATGCTGCTAACTTTTCATTTCCTTCACTACCCCTTCCCCCAGCCCTGGGGATGGGCACCTCTTTATATTCCATATATAATACCATCAGAGCTTTGGGGGACATTCTTATTGATCAAGCATGGAAAGTAATTTTTTCATTATACAGGTTCTACAGCACATGATCCTTAAAAGCTTTGTTTATGAATGAGAAAGCGAAGTCCTGGCCCATTTTAGTCTGATGCTTATCATTTTGATAACATCTTTAAGGAGTAAAGTGTGCCTTTTGAATACTGTGATTTTAAAGGCTTTGAAAAGAAAGACAAAACAAAAGCCCTAAACTGACATTGCAAGAAATTGGAAAGCAGTTCTGTCTGCTGGGGAAGAATGGCCAGCTCATCACCTTCATTAGTTTATTAGTTTTTGGTTTATAGAAACTAATTCTGGGGCACATTTGACTGTATGTTCCAGTTCCTTATGTTCTGTTATTTTAAGAGACATGAGCATTTTCTGAGAGTGGAGGATGGATACTGGAGGTTCTAATCTGGGCCTGCCACAAACCAGCTGTGTCCCTGGCGAGTAATATGACCTCCCTCCATCCCCTCCCTCCATCTGTAAGAGTCCTCCACTTCCGTGCTGCCATTACAGAATTCGGCTCCGCAGTGGCTCTGTAATGAGCAAGTGCAAGACTTCTGAGCACTTACACATGAATCGTTACACAAAAGCTCGGCCCTCTTCTACTTTTTGGAGTCAGGTGCCTCCCGTATGTGGGAATAGTGCTCATTTTGCCGTACAATCCTATTTCCCATCATCCTGAAATGTGACATGAAATGTATGCATTTTAGGACTCGCCCTGGTGACCAGAGTAATGAGGGAGGAGGAAGTAAATTAAGACCTGGTACGTTGTAATCATATGCAAGTTTTAATAAACAGCATCCCGTCACGTCCCTTTCCCTCTTTGCGGAGATCCATTTTCAGCCTAGCCGCTCCAACTGTGTTTTAATTTGAAACTACCTATGTTGACTCCTTTCATCAGGCGAGTGGAAGTGAGGAATATTACACTTGGTGGTGAATGACTTTATTCTTTATTTCCCAGGAGAACGTGAGTAGGCTTACAAAAGGTCACCTCTCTTGGTATTTCAATATCTTTTACATTCTTTCCAATGTTTTTATTTGAAAGAAAGGAATATGAGTATATTGTATAAAAACCTTAGCACTTCTGCACCTCCAGAGCAATTCTGGCCTTAAATTCCCTACCCCCCGGAGACTTAGGACAATTCAGACAATGGTATACTCTTTGGTACACGATTGCTTAGGCTGAACGCAGGTTTTAACTAAAAGCACAATCTGCTTGGACCCTTGCCAGTGGGTACTGTGCTAACTTTTGAATTTAGGACATGCTTTTGTAAATCAGTTATAGTGTGTGATGCCTAATCTATAAGGTATAAAGTAGAGGTTCTTCTAGTTGGTGAGAGTATAGATACAGTCTACTCCAAATTGACCTTA